CCAGACTGAAGGTGCAGGAGGGGGCTCACATTAATTTGCTTTATGTTTGACTAGAGAGGCTTCCCATAACTATTAGAGCCCACTTTGGGCCCACTTCATTTTAGAGTTGTTGTCAGTCATTTGAGAGTGATATGCCCTGTGGCTGGGAAGAATAAACACATCATATATTAGGTAAAGCTTTGATGTATGGGGGTTGCTGAATGCCAACACCTCTTTCTGAGGACCGGAAAAATCAGAATGTGGGAATGAGATTAGGATAGGAAGGAATATGACAGACAGGGGCCCCGCCAGCCTTCCTGGAACTTTCCAGCTCCGAATAAACTGAATGGGCGAAACCAGTATTTGTTTTGTTTTTGCTTTGCTGTGTTTTATGGTGGTTGTTCTGAAGAGCAGAATGAGATTCCAGCACATAGTGTTTGTTTCCCTTTCCATTATCAAACTTTGAAATTAAACAAAACATTTAAGAGCTGATATTATACATTGATCCAGAACATTTCAATCTCAACCACTGGTAACAACTGGCCGGAAATTGACTAAAGGTCAGCTTATAAATCCCCATATTTTGTCTTCTTATACTCCCAAGTGCCCCATTTTTACACATGTTAAAAAGTAGACTTTTAAAATTCAGTACAAATTTGGTTTTAGAGCATGGGAAAATAATGGTCTGTCCCAGAAACTACAAATATTTTTTTCACTTCTTTGGGTTACAGAACAAATTTATGACTGACTAGTATATTTTCAAGTTGGCAAGTCAGTGAATTATAGCATTATTTAGTGAAAAGCTTCAAATTTCCAAAAAGGAAAGTTTTACCCAGAAGAATGTGTTTTATTTTTGCACGTGCTCAGCGTCAATTTGCTCTACCTTATCTGCACTTCATCTTGAAGCAACTGTGTGTTAGCCTGATTTGAACACAGGCATTTCCACTCATGATGCAACTGGTTTTCATGCTAGGCTACATGGTTCTTACTGAGAACTAATTATTTCCTATAGTTTTAATACTGTTCAGAGTCTTGAGAATCTCATTGAATGATGATGGGCATATATTACTACCTCACAGATTATATTAAACAGGCATATCTCACATTCTGATTGTATTGCCACTCTTTAGTCCTTGCACTGCGTCCTGCACATTCAGGAATGGTCTCCTCTCCTATTCTGTCATCTTGGTTAAAGAAAAAAACACGTTGCCCTCTTTCTTACCCAGTGAATAAACCAAGAAAGTTCCATTTGTTAAAAAGGAAGAATCTGATTTAGAAAAATTACATATCAAAGTTAAAATATCAGATTTCTCTCCCCAAGGCCACACATTTGAGCCTTTGGAAGCAAATTGGCAACCCCAGGGGTCCATCCCTCTTCTCTGTTGTTTGTCTTAAACAATCCAACAGCATGAGGACAACAGGGCAAGTTAAATGTAATGCAAGTGGCTTTACTATATGTATGTATATAAGAAAAGAAATATACATGTATGTATTTCAAGCAAGGGGATACATATTTCTATTCATTTTAAATAACCCCAAAATAACAGTGAGCCACAATGATGAATGTATTTTAGCAGTTACGATAAAGAGTAAAACAGTTTCTGTCCTAGAAAAAAGAAAAAAAAAATGATAGTAGAGAACCCATATTTGCATTTAATTTCTAATTTTCTTGTAAGTGGACCAAGACTAATGGTTTCTTATCAGAAGCCTAGAATCTTGACGCATCATGATTAATAAACAAATAAATATTACTCTTAATTTCCTTCTATGGGTCTCTCCAAGTTGGTTAGTTGGAGTTATCTTGAAATATCTGAAAGGGATAAGATTAAACTATATACCTCGAAATATATAATATGCATGTACTTATTTTTATAGCATTTATAACAATGGTCAACATTTACCTATTGTTTAGGTTATACAATATGCACTTACGTATTGATAGCATTTATAACAATGGTTAACGTTTACCTATTGTTTAGATTATGCCAGTCATGCTGCTCTGCTAAGGACTTTTGCTGCATTTCATAGCCTTAACAACCTAGATGTAGTCACTTTTGGCAATATCCAGGTAGTCATTTAGTTTTGGAAAATTAGAAAAATAAAATAAAGATGTCCATGAATTGCTCTCCATACTGACATATTCTTATCAACATTGCCAATAAGGTTTTATCAGCCTCAGGCATGAGGCAAATCTATCTTATTAGTGTGAAAACTAATGAAAGATCATCCTGACAATGATAATTAATTGCAGTTGTTGACAAGGACTCAGTTCCTTTACACTCCTTTGCTGTTGCTCTTTCTCGGTCTTTCAGCTCTCTTCTCTCAATTAGACATATGAAAAGTGCGGCCCTCCCCTTGGAGAAAGAAGCTTTTAGATTAATCATATTATCTTAAGGTTCCAAATCTCCATGCCTGCGTGACCTTTCTTCCGTTGGAATCCATTATCTTAAACTATCACAATAATCCTGGCTTTAGGGAGGGAGAGAGGGAAAAGGAATCAAACCTAATAGATGGCAAATAAGATTAATCTATGATCTAAGTGCCGATTACACTTGGCCCTGCCCTTGAACACCCAGGTGTAACCTTGAAATTCACATCCGCTAAGACACAGCAATTGGATTGAGTGTCCCTCAAGGCCTTAAGGGCAGCTGGCCAAACTTTACCCATTACTCCCCAGCGAGATCGTGGGCTGTCTCAACCTCCAACTCTTTTTACTTGTGGAATTTGGCAGCTGTGCTTTTTCATGTTTGTTTTGGGATCGTTCACATTTTTTAGATAAAATACTTATTTTGGGTCCTTGATTTTTGTTTGTCAGAAGCACCAGGCCATGGAGGGAATGAACTTTTACCTGGACCTCACAAGAGGAAAACAAATGATCCAGCTCCTCAGAATCTGATAGCTCCACCAAAATAAATTCAGTCTTTGCTTCTTTCAAAACACTGACATACTGATCCTTAAAGCTACATATGTTTAAGAACAACTAAGGGGAGAAAAAAAAATTCCCCCTTGTAACATTTGTCTTCTGAACTTTGAGCTGATTATTTTTCTTCCACATGGCCTGAGGTCTTAGAAAGGACACCCTTTTGGTAAGATGGAACATGACATCGGGAAGTCCCAGCTACCGGTGACATAGACAGGAAAAAGGATTATATAGAGAAAACAGTTTCAGCCAAAGAGAAGTATCACTGGGTCAGATAGAGAGAAGGGAAGTGAAATAAAAATGCATTCTCATTAACAGTTGGCCCTGTCTGCAGAAATTCGAAGTTGACCAGAAAGAATGTTCTCTCATTATGCTTCTGTGTTGTTCAGATCTCTAAATGTATTGTAACCCTGGAAGATAGAATAAAATTAAGTCCCAAATAAGAGTAAGAAGGAAAGTTAGGTCTAAACAAGGAAGAAAATAAGCAGACTTTAAAACTATTAGAGGTAAAACTTGGTGGGTAGAAAATATGACCATGTATCCCCAAAAAGATAGCTAAATAAAAAATGCCAGGGATACCATTTAGGGAACTCACACTCAAGCCATTCTTATCAGTGTTACACGTATCTTGGGAGTCTCTCTCTGGCATACTCCCAGGCACAAGTTCTATCTAAAAACAGAATGACTCTTGCGGTGTTCACTTTGTGAAGGTTTTCTCAACTGTCGTCTTAACAAAAATTAACACATAGTTAATTTTAGTTCATACTGAGATTTGTAGGACAATGACCTCAGACCCACAGTTCCTGAGCAATTATTCTATAATTTTTCTTGTCACTTTATAATTTAATTTCTAAAGTATTATAAATAAATTCAATCTTATAGTAATCTCTATTTCCTTTTTTTCTCTTTTAAAAGTAAATCATTTGTTTTTTTGTCTTAATAAGTGTAATGAAGTAGGTATAGAAACACCATTTTTCAGAGACCACCCTTTGGAAACAATTTGGAAGCTCATTTGTCAAGAAGAAATGGCTGGTTACAAGTTCCTGGGTGAAACAAACTGCATGATCTAGAACTTGTCGCTTAACATGTCCGAGTTTTGATTTGCACAAATGTAAAAAGGAATATGGAAATAAGTCTATGTCAATCCAGGGTTGAAGATTCAATCATTATATGTATAAAAGTGTCTGACAATAGCTGGCTGATTGGGTTGAATCCCAGCTCTGTTGCTTTTAACTGTGTGACCTTGGTTAAATTGCTCAACCACGTTGTATTTTAATTTCCTTATTTGAGAGTAGGAATTAACAGTATTTACCTTACAGTGTTCTGTTGGGGCTAATATGAGTTAAAAGAGATAAATTGCTTAGAAGATATTTAAGAAGTACTGTGCAACTGTTTGCCATTATTGTTGTCCTTGTTGTCATTATTAGAGTCTCAGTAAAAGATACTCTTTTTTTTTTTTTTTGCGGGGAACTCAAGAACACTGGAAAACAATAATACCTCTGGTTTCTTAGATTTTTGCAAGGATCACAGCTGAAAAAACATCAAAGAAATGAAGGATTCTGGAAGCTCTGGTAAAAACACAAAGGATTCTTCGAGGCTTCTTTTCTCTTGTGAGTTCGGACAGTGCCATTTTGACTGAGTGTGGGAGCCCTTGTCAGCTGTCCTGGGAGGGTTAACTCACACCTAGGCGGGAACCTAATGCCATTAAGTCAGGGAGAGTAATGAAATTTCATTTAATTTGTCAGGAAGAAAGTGCTAATGTTAAAAGGCATTTAATAAAAAAGGGAGAGATTCTTTGAAAGGGAGTCCTTAAGTAATTACTTCAAGTGTCTTATGCCTACTCACCAGAATATTTACATTAGTGTCTTATGGTGCCAGTGTGTAATTAAATTAGTGCAGCATTTACAGTCCCTGTTTTTGTTTTTGTTTTTTTCTTTTAAGGAAATGTGCTTTTATTAATATTCCTCCTTTAAAAAAGAGAGAGAAAATAACGATGTAATCAAATTAAATGTTAGCATACTTTTGTTTTTGAAAATTTCTTACTAAGAGAAATGCTGAGTTAAAGTTTCAGGCGTGTGCAAGTGTTGGGAAGAAGCGCTGATTCTAGGGCAGAGTGGCTGTGCTCCTTCCTCATCTCCACTCACAGAAATGCCATCTTTTATCTACTCAGACCTGACATGGAGATTCAGGTCAGCAGCCAGAGACTGTCAGCGTATTGCAGTGGATACCCCTGCCTAGTCCGGATTCTCTCTGCAACTTGTCTGCGAGGCAAGGAGGGATACAGATGTGCGAGTGAGGGGAAGTCCGCAGGAAGCCGGGTGAGGCAGGCTCATCCCTCATCACTCCGTGCGCACAGAGCAGCTCAGGCTCTCACCGGCAATAGCAAGAGGAGTTAACTAACGTGCTGGGAGTAGGGGACGGCCCATGGGACCACGACTGAATGCATTTGTACCTCTACAGGCAAGTCACATTGAGGAAAATGATTCTTAAACATTTCTTTGGAAGTAACTGCTGCTGTTTTCCAGATTAATTTATGAACATCCTAGTGAATGAGTCTGTGCACTGATATCATACAAATGTTTTCCTTTTATCAGGTCTGTCTTCCAAGGGGTGTGGACAAGAGCATAGGCTGCTGATTGGAGACAAAATAAATAAGATATAGAAAAGAAAGTATAGATTTATCTCATACAAGGGATTTGAATATTAAGAGAGGTCAGGTTATCCGAAAAATGTGTAAACTATAAAGTGTTAGTAATTCTAGCTACTATTACAACTGTAGCTGGAGATTTCAAATCTGATTGTATCACTATCCTTATTATCATTCAGTGGTTTTCCATAGCCTCAGTGAAAGCCTGAACTTTGCAGTAAACCATGCATCACCTCTGCTAATTTCCAGAAGTCGCATCCTTCAGGAATCTGCTATTTTTCAAAATATCAGGTCTTCAGAATATAAGAATTCTCTTATCTCTTTGCACATGATTTTCCCTCTGTCTGGAGCTGAGCTGCCCAGTGCTTTAGCCACTAAGTTCTTGTGGCTATTTAAATTTAAATTTGAAAAAAAAAAATAAAATGAATGAACATCATTTAGTTCCTCTCATGCATTAGGTATGTTTCAAGCCATCCGTAGCTGTATGTGGCTGTGGCCACCATATTGGAAAGTGCAGCTATAGGCCATTCCTTTATTGCAGGGGTTTCATTAAACAGCTCAGGTTTATAGCCACCTTTTCTACCTTCTGACTTCATCTTTAATTTTTCAGCTTAGCTATCACTTCCACAAGGAAGTCTTTTCTACCTCCATCTCACGCCTTCAATAAGAGTTGGGATGTCCTTTTTTAATATCCCACCCTATAAAAGTTGCCTATATGTTTATCTGAATTTTCTGATCTAAGATGAGGCCGATTTTCTGATCAACTCATGAGGTCAGAGTCTTGTCTTCTGAATTGATCAGCATTATATTGTGCACTTGGAAAGCAAATAATAGTGAAACCATAATGGAGTGTTTATTAGGCACTATTCTAAGCACTTAATATGTATGACCTTACTGAATACATAAGTAAGTACTATTTATCGCCTTTAGTACATAACTGGCACTATTGTTATTCCAATATTGCAAACAAGGAATCTGAGGCACAGAGAGATTAAACCACTTACAGACACCCAGAGGGAGATGGGAGGGTGGGGCTAGGCAGCTGAGGTCAACTTAGGCTCTGAACCTCCATGTCCTTGGCGTTCAAACAATTTTTGTTGAACAAATGTAGGAGTACCTATGAATAGGCAATAAAGTAGACAGTAGTCACTCTTTTCTAACATCACTGTTTTATTAATTGTACTGATTTTCCCACCAGCCTGACTATATAAAGTATCATTTTCTTTTAATAAGTGTTTTATGCTTTCTCTTTCAGTCCTCAACTGTAGGGTGAATAATGAAGGTGTATTATACTCCCTCTACAAGTAAGAATCCTGATGTCTAGAGAGGGTAAGCAAGATAAAAGGCTAGTGGGCTGATACTATAAAGTCAAAGTAAGACACAGCCTTGGCAACTATTCAAGTGACATGATGCATATGGGCAATGAATCCAAGTCATCAACTTTGATTTTCTTTGGCATTAATGTCTTAGTTTTCTCACTGCTCAAGTCATATTAATTAGCAATATCATTTCTTTCTCATAACTGCATGTGTTGCTAATGTTATTTGTTAGAATGAAATAACTAGACATTGTTTTCAACAAATTAACATGTCTATAAATAGGTCCCCAATCAGACATTAAGCCTCATGACTATTGTATCAGTACAGCTATTAGTAAATCAATAATGTGGTTTTGCCCATAGACTATTTTTAGTACTTCAGATTGAATGTTGATCCCACAAAGAAAGAGATTTCTTTAAGGCAAATTTATTTAATATAAAATTTTGGTTTAAGTGAGATTCTCGTTACGGCTGAAGCTTAAGACTGTATCTTTCTGCAGGATCTAAATACATTAGTAAATATGAAAATGGAGGGTTAACTGAATCTCTGTGGGACTATATTCCATTTTCTTGGAAAATCAAAGCATCAACATGGATGAGTTGGTGTTCTGGATTTGGTATACTCAAAGTAATAGCTACCTGATGCTTTGAGGACTTAATATTGAGCAAGTGATAGTCTATGACCTTCACCTATATTGACCCCTGTATTCTTGGCAAGAAATCTATAAGGTTGTCGTCTTTTTTATGCAGATGAGAAAGCTGAGGCCCAGCGCTGTAATAACTTCATCAAATCATACTGCCAGGGAGTGACACACTGTGATTTGACCTTGTGTAATCTAGTTTCAGAGTCCATTTTCTTAACCACTATTCTTTATTGCCTCCTGATCAACAGGTCCAAACACACATGCATACATATATACAGGGCTTTAGAATTGTTTTTCTTAAAAAGTGAGAATTATAAAGAACTTTTTGTGTTTTATTGGAGGGTGCCCTCTAAAAGGAAAATGCCATTTGGATTGTCAACATAGATGTAAAAAGAGAAAAACTGCTAAATAGAAAACTACAAGAAGGGATTTCTGGTATAATTGAGCTCTTCAATTTGATTGAGCAATTTAGCTAGTTAGATAAGACTATCAGTTAGATAAAGAAGACTATCAAGGAACGAATAGTTTATAATCTATTGTTTACTTTTATTTTCTTACTTTTCAGTATAATATCACTTTTGTCCAATGGTAGCAAAAAGTTTCAGTTGGTTTTTAGATAATTTTTCTAAGTTAGGACACAGGTTAATAGTGCACAGCTGGCCGGCGACCGGGGCTCACGCCTATAATCCCAGCACTTTGGGAGGCTGAGGGGGCGGATCAAAAGGTCAGGAGACTGAGACTATCCTGGCTAACACAGTGAAACCCGCATCTCTACTAAAAACACAAAAAATTAGCTGGGCGTGGTGCTTGCTGTAGTCCCAGCTATTCCGAAGGCTGAGGCAGGAGAATCGCTTGAACCCGGGAGGCAGAGGTTGCAGTGAGCTGAGATCGTGCCACTGTACTCCAGCCTGGGGTGACTGAGGAGATCGTGCTGCAAAAAAAAAGAAAGAAAAGAAAAGAAAAAAATGCATATTCGTCTTTAAATAACCTTGTCTGGCTACTATCTAATATTGGTCCATATAAAGCTAAATATATCTTCTCTTTTCCCAAACCCAAAGGAGAGAAAAAGTAAAAATAAGGTAGCTTAAAAATACATTCACAGTTCTTTATTAGCAAGCGCTTCAGTCAAAACCCAGGTGTAATTTTTCTCCTAATCACAAAGTGTCACTAATGACATTTTACAAATATATTGACTGTATTTTCTTGAGAGCGGTTTATAAAGTGGATACCATGGTTCATCCTGGTGTTTGGCCACCTTCCTTACTTAGCAGGATTGACTGGAGATCGGATCTGCCCAAGTCTGCTGTAATCTGTCCTTTAGAAGAGAGGGAGGGAATCAGAAAACCCGGATGCTACCAAAAATGTCAATTTCAGTGAAAAGAAAACACGTCCTGGCTTTTGAAGACCCTGAAGTAGTTGAAAAAAGATGATGGGTGTTTTTGACTCTAAAGCTCATTCTAAGGCGAGGAAGAAAAAAATCCAGCAGATCACTTTGCTTTTCCAAGGAATTTTTTTGAGAAATGTGGCATTCCACAGAAGAACACAAACTGAATACATAAGTAAGTACTATTTATCGCCTTTAGTACATAACTGGCACTATTGTTATTCCAATATTGCAAACAAGGAATCTGAGGCACAGAG